TGGCAGCACTGGCACAACCATGAGAGGGTACTTAAGGATGAATTGCTAGGATTTGAATAAATTTCAACATGGGATAGGTTAATATATTTTTTTGTACGTAATCAGTTATCCAAAAAATCAATTTTCCAAACAAACCCAGACTCCAATTAATTCAGATAATTATGCTCTACTGTAGTTAGAAAACTAACAAGACAGACAAGCTATTAAGTTTAACATATTTAGATTTTTACAGCTATGGTGAGAAACGTTTAAAATTTACAACAATGCTGTTAGTAATCAATAGGATGACTAACACGCCAAATTAATATATAATAACAAAAACAAAGACACTGAGTTCAGCGTTACATGCGTTTTTTAATCGCAAGCACTTTCAACGAACTTATAGTTGTTGTCCTCAGGCGAATACAAATATTTACCAAAAACTTTTAAACAAAAATAATCGAATGAAGAATAGAACGCGTAAGATAAGTTGAAACTATGTTAAAGCCGTTAAGAACACGAAGTATATATATATATATAAACATAATTCGAAAACCGAACGAGCAGATAGCTCCGTGAAGTGCGAGCTGGCGCATGCGCAGAGCCATGCTCACGCTACATGCATACTAGAGACTGATAATACTCGCTTAAACACTTATACAACATGACCCATACACTAGGCAGCTCAAGCGTAGGGGTGTTGCAAGTGTCCAAGGTGGTAGTGAGGAGAGATTCCCATATAAAAACAGTTTTATATGGCTTTAATGGCTTTAACATAGTTTCAACTTATCTTATGCGTTCTATTCTGCATTCGATTATTTTTGTTTAAAATTTTTTGGTAAATATCTGTATTCGCCTGAGGACGATGACTAAGTTCGTTGAAAGTGCTTGTGATAAAAAATGCATGTAACACTGAACTCAGTGTCTTTGTTTTTGTTATTAAACAATGCTGTTGCGTCCTTTGAGGTTTACTAGTGATGTGACAAAAGAGGCATTCGACATTGACCAGTATCGGCACTCTCGGGATTTGGCAGTCCGCATGCATGCATTACAACCTATCAGGACAGTCTCCAATTCCATTCATTAGCCATTTCTAGGGAGCTATTTGACTAAGTGGATTAAAGCTCTGATAATATCCCCCAAAGCTGAATATTATCAAGCTAGAAACGGCTATAATACTAATAATTTAATAGACAATTTGGCATTAGATTTAGGTGTTAGGCGCTATCTCTTGATAAACTTAAATTTAAATAATTTTAGAATTACTGGAAGAAAATTATCCTGAAGCAGGACGTATCGGTGTGGTAAGGATGTTTGACTAAGTGGATTGTTTTAAGATTTAAAAAGATTTAATGCTAATATTAAATACAAAAATAAAATATATATTTTCAAAATTTTAGGATTTTAATTTTTTGCAACTAACATTTGGTTAATATTTAAATAAAAAATTAATTATAAAAACTATCTTTAAGGGATAAATCATTAGCCTTATTTGAAAAATATGAATCATTTTTAAAAAAGGAAATTTGTGGTAAATACAGGAAGAGTTAAGAGATTAAAGAATGAAGAATGCAGCTTTCTTAAACAGGAGCTGAATGATCATTTATTTTCTAGTTCCTGTATTTAGAAAAACTATCAAGAAATCTAAAGACTATCTTTAGATTTCACTTTATTAGTTAAAATATTCTATTCAGAAATTTAGAATAGAAAAAGATTTTGTATAAATCTAGTGATGAATTTTTAATCACTTTGTTATAAGTATGCCACACATTTTAATTAATAATAAAGCATGATTTTCAGTAGGAAAAAGATTAAAGTTAAACTACAAAACAAATTTAAAAAAAATATATATTTAAATCAAAATATAAAAAATCATCATTAATCTAAAGTAAGGGTTCCCAACCTTTCTTTGTGAATCTTTTCAAATTTACTCTTATCTATACAAAGGTCAAATAAAAAAAATTAGTGTTTATTCAAATCAAAATTTATTTTATATATATTTATTTACTAAAATTTTTAAAAACAAAATATTTGGCAAACAAAAAACCCTTCAGAAATTGCTAGTAATTATACTGGAAATCTTGATATAAAGGAGGAAAATATTTGTCTACTGTGTACACACACACACACGTTATATATATACACATATATATATAATCATAAACTTCCATTTTTTTATGTATGCATGTTTATGTTTTATTTCAGGTCAAAAATTATGAATTACTAAAGTATATAAATTTTGATATTAAATTGATAATACTTTAAAATCAGTATATATGTATAATTCTTAAAGTTATTTGATCCACAGAATACAAACTGAGCAGATGAACTATGGACCACCTATGCCTCAGTCTATTTATTACTCTGTAATTGTTACCTTAGATACATGCTGTAATATTTTATTTATTTGGTAAGCTAAGATAGGATGTGAAAATTTTCTCTCTCTCCTCTGTCTAAAGAGCAAAGATTTTTAGATTGGAAAAATGACTAGGTCAGTCTACAGTCTAACTTGGCACACGGTCACAGATCCACTAAAAGCATTGGTTATCAAGTATAGTAAGGTGATGGTAAAGTTTAATTTTATTCACATAATCTTAACATCAATGTAATCTTGCATAAACAATTATTCTTCAAAAAATTTTATGACATTTATTCTTTACAATACTATTTTTTGGTATTGAATTGCAAATTTAAACTTAAAAAATATATGGTTTATAGATTGCAAGCTGTCATTTAAAATCAGATCTAATTTGGCATTTACTTCTATGTAAGGAAGAAAAATCATCTAAGGTCAATCTTTGAAAGAAATTTAGTAAAAATAGATTGAGATAATTATTGTTTGTAAAAATAGAGAAACCTTCAAAACTGAATGAATGAAAAATAAGCAAGTTTCTTCTAATGAAAATGATGCAATTTTGTATCAAAGTATGAGAACTTTCACTAAATAAATTCACGGAAGTTTGTAAATTATAAAATTTTATGAACAGTTATTTTATTTCTCAATACTTTAATTTGCTTCACTGAAGTAGCCTAAAGTATGCATGAAGTAAAGCTAACCATAAAAATATTAAGCAATAAGAAGAAAAAGCTTTTTAAGTTCAGATTATTTATTAAAAGAAATAATTAAAATTAGATAATAAGATAGATTTTATACATATTAGCTTTTTTATTATATAAATTAGCAACACATTCATGTTCCTAATACTCCATTAAGTAAATGCATATTATTTTAGAGCAGCGCTGTCCAACTTATCATAGCCCGCGGGCCATATTTTCTTCACCAAACATTTCGGGGACCAAGAAGGTTGCTGCTGTATTCAGCCAGGTTAAGTGAAGTTACGCAAACTAAATAGTACCTACTTTAAATTCAAATTAGATTTAAATTTTCACATAGTAAAATAATTTTAATATTAATAATAATAATTTAGTAACATAAATTTATTCATAGTAAAATGTACTCGGGGGCCGTAAAAATTATTTGGCGGGCCGTATACGGCCCGCGGGCCGCCAGTTGGACAGCCCTGTTATACAGTATTGTTCTTTATAGTAAAATCACATTTNTGTACACAATAAATTTTGTAAACAAAAAAAACTCTTCCATAAATATCAATCACAGCTAAAAACTGTGGATGATATTTAATCATAGTTTATCTAAAGTTTTTACAGCATTTTTAAAGGCCAGATCTTGGCCAAATGCCAATGAATTAATATCAAATTTCTAGTATTTTTCTTGCTATTCAAGAACTATATTATCAGTATCTAAAATTTATTAAGATATCAAATCTAAAATTTAAAATTTTTTTAACACATTTCAGACAAAGGAATAAGCTAAATATTTTAGAAATACACATCTATAGCAATTTTATATAGATCATATTCAAGCAAGCATTATACATAATATATTATGCTAATATTTATTTTTTGCTAATTAAACAAGTCTCCATTAATACTATTATACCATTATAATGACTGAAGCTTAACATAAATTGCATCTTAATACAGACAGACAAATTTGTTTATAAAATGCAAATTCAATTTTATAGGATAACTTATTGTATATAGTCTTTGAAATTTTATTATTTCTATACTTAACTATTCATTGAAAATTTTAATAAATTGCAATTTTTAATATAAAACTTTGTATTAAATTCACAATCAAAACAAAAATTAAATCTGAACTTTAATATAAATCATAAATGATAATTTGCATCAAAAACAAAAAAAAAGTGTTTATATAATAATAAAAAACCACATTCGAAAGTAATAAAGATAAAATTTATAGAATTACTAATCTTAAATTATGTTCTCTGGAATGATCTAATCATAGTATCTTAGACTTTTTTCCTCTCCATACATTAAATACAAAATTTGAAATTTATCTTAAAAAAATGCCTAAGACATTTTGTAATCGAGATGTATAAAATGACAAACAGCATTTTATTAGTTAACCTTTTTTTTTTCTAACTAAAAAGAGATAAATCCTACCGTAACGGCAGAATCTTATTGGGCTACTATAAGGCTAATCAATCAATTGGCCTCACAGTAGCCCAATAAGATTCCTGCTATATTTGATTAGAAATATGTATCAGGTTGTCTGTATATCAATTATAAAAGAAAGGGGACATTCATATAAAAAATAAAAGTAAAAATTATTATGAATAGACCTTGACAGTTTGATTTTATAAATATCAATTAATTTGAAACATGTCATTGATCAACTTTAAAAAAAAAACCTTTTAAAAATGATAAACACTTAAATTTAAAAAATTCATAACTTTGTCTCGATCGTTTATATTTTATAATTGTAGTAATAAACGTGAAAATTTAATTTTTCTTGGTAGGAACTACTTTTACTTTCAGACAGTGACCTTAAAAGTAACTTCTACCGCTTTTTCTTTAAAATTCTAAATAAATAAAAGCATCTTTTCCTCAGTAAATTTATACAAAAAGCTTTACAAGATGCCAATTCACAATGTAATTTGGGTTAAAGCAGTTAAATGTATTGGAATTTAATTAATTTATGTACTTAAATGACGATTAAGATAAATTAAGAAATTAACTAATGCAAATCTCGTACCTATCGTCGATATAAACGTTGTATTAAAAGCATCGTCCGAAAACCTGAATAATATACACGTTTTACCGACACCAGAATCGCCGATTAATAATAATTTAAAGAGCAAATCATAGGACTTTTTCGCCATCCCTTCTTCCCACTTGTTTCAATATGGACGTTGATTGAAGCGCCACACCTTAAAATATTAAATAATTCTTCTTCTTCTTTGATTAATGCGTATTTATATAATTCGTCTAAAAATTTAAATAATTTTAATTACGTTATTAATTCACATAAATCTAATATTAATAATTATCTTAATTATTAATTGTTTTATTAAAAAGTAAATTATTTTTTTCTATTTTCTTTTTAATTTATTATCATCGATATAATAATGCATTCTTAATTAACGAAATTAAATATTAATTTATCAACATTTTATCAACATGTGTATTTATTATTGTATTTTTTTTATCAATTTAATCACGATCTGAGCTATTTTATAAAAATTTTTATCAATTAATTTCATTAGTGAATAAATCTATATCGTGGCGAGATGAAAACGCGCCGAGCTTCCGTTACACGAAGTCTGGCAGTATTTAGATTTTTGGAGTCTTTTAAGGCGAATTTCGCTATTCTTTACGAGTTTCTTATCATTGTTTCCATAGACATGTTAATGTTAATGTAAAAAGTAATGGGGCAGCGGAGTGATGAAAATGACAATGTGAAATAGTCATACATACTGTACAACAGTCTCCGTGAAAAATTCCTGATGTTGCTGGCCCGGCGGAACTCGAATCCGATACGAGACTTACGCTCTGGGAAGTCTGGGTTAGGCAATAAGATTAGATGCAAATGAATTAATGCTCGAATAATCTTATTTTAGTTTCTATCATTATTGATAGAAGGAACATTCTGGTCCTTTTCATTCATACATTTTAAGCTTTGTTAAAAAATATTTAATAACTGTTTAGTTTTTTAGTGTACACGCTAAGGTGTTATATGTGATATTAATGTATTTAACCATACATGTGATATTTCACTGTAATAAAAATTTATACAAGATAATTACTTTAAACTGTTTTTAAAAGGGTCGGACAAAAACATTGAGAAGGCCGCATGCGGCCCGCGGGTTGGACATGTCAGATTTAAACAACGGATTTTTTAAAAATCTTTGTGAGTATATGCGAAATAAAGTGCGTCATCAGATTTACGGTTGTAATATGCCATTCATCGACGAAATTTTTAATGAATTTAATGAAAACAAATCGAAAACAAATTGTTTGAGCCGAGTGATAAAAAATCAAGTGACTTTTGCCTACCTTCACCTAAGTATCCTTATAGTAATCCTTTGCAGTAGCGTGCGGTGACATTTGATGATAGGGAAGTCGTGGCGGCCCTGGATACAATCATTGGAAGCGTTATACGATATTTTGGTATGTAGCATCCATCGGCTAAACAGCGAGGTTGGTGCTCTGTAAAGGGCATGCGCCAATGCGTATAATCTGGCTGCTTTACACCATTCGGATATTTTTGCCGTGGAAACTGTCCCGTGTTCGAAAACACGGCGCTTCCCAATCGGAATATGCGTATTCGAATTTATATTCGAATATACAATAGCCATCTTATCGTTTTTTCTCACACGTAGTATAGAAATTTTAATAAGATACATAATGTGGTTATAATAAAATATCAATTTGAATTAATTCAAAGTACTTTAAAATATAAAAATTATCGCGCGATATGTATTTATATTTTAGAAAATACAAGGGAAGCGACGCTTCCACAGCTTTTGTGGACGGCTCCTTAATAATTGTATCGTAATTCAGCTTATATGCTATATATGCTTCAATAGATAAAGCTGCGAAAGTTGAAAGTCTTTACTGACCCATTGTATTTCTTAAATAATCTTTTATTAGTTTTAATTTTGAAAAGCTCCTTTCAGCGTAAGCAGTACTTACCGATATTGTTAACAAAATTCGAACGGCAATGTAAATATTTGGGTAAATTTCTTTCAAGTTATTTTATGTTATGTATTGGAGCAGCTGTTTCACATCTTTAATGAAATTGGACAAATTTGGGATCATTGTTTTTAATTCTTCATATAATTCGTAAGGTTGGAAGTCACTGCTCTCACTCACTCGCAGGACTGAGTGTCAATCTTGGCAGTTTTTTAATATTTGCTCTTTTGGAATATTTTTTAACTCGCTTAGATCGTTGAGAAAACCAAAACTTTCAAAATGTTGATTTAAAGACATAAATCCCGAATCCATATTGCTTATTATAGAATCAATCGTGGTGTTAAAAAAATCTCTTTCATACCTGCTTTTGGGAGACTGTATAGATTGATCGCTGCCTTCATCATCGAACATCCTTTTCTTTTTGGCTATCCTTTTGTTTTTAAAGCCTTTCGGCAGTTCATAACTGCTATTCTCAATAAATTGACGAGCGTCAGACAAGCATTTTTCGAATCCAGTTTGTCGATATTCTTTGATCCAGTCACAAAATGTACATAAATGTTCAAGATCATTGCTTAAATGGACTTGTAAAGATTGCCATAATTTGCTTATGATATTAACACGCGATAATATCTCATATCACACATGTAATGATATGATAAATTCTAAACTGAGCATTTCGTTTAAAACCGAATCACAATCACCGAGTGTGTCTGATTGTTCCGTTTGATTTTTTAAGCTTTCGATGCTTAAAAAATCAACAACATCATCTAATTGCAATAATACGGCCTTCACTGCCTCGATTCTGCTTTCTCACCTTGTGTCTGATAAAGGCTTCAAAGTAAGCTTTAATTTGCCTTTGATTACTTTCCAGTGTTTGCTGGAACTTGAAAATAGCAAATAAATTTTCTGAATAAAACCAAAAAATGTTTTTGCTACCACAGAAGAATTAGCTGCGTCTACCGACAGCAGATTTCAGTTATGACAACCGCAAAGTGTAAAAAATGCCCTGGGATTAATATTTAATATTCGAGTTTTAACTCCACTGTTTACGGGATACTTTACTGCGATACTTTGATTGGCTTTCTAGCCGTTGAGAATAGTGAAAGTAACGTAAACAAACACAATGGGAAATCCCCAGCTTTGGCTGACAAGGATTCCCCGCGATAGCAACCCAACGCCAGCAAATGTTGCTAGACAAATAAAAACAAATTTGGTATGTCAATATATTTATCGTTTTATGACGTGTAAAATTTTTCCGTTGAGTTTACGGCTTTTACGTAATGCATAAACCTTCGAAGCGCGAGGCCGTAGGCGGTGGTCCACGTCGCCCACGCCTTACGCCGCCTCCGCTTTTTAAATTATTTGAATTAAAAATTTTTTGGCTTAAAATTATTTCCATATATCAAACTATATTGCCATATCAATCGCATTAAATTATTTAAACCGAATATCGAATTACGTATAGGCTACAAATTTAATTAATTAACTATGTAATTTGTCTGTATTTTTCTATGTATTGGCGGTTAGGCCACCGTCTCGTATCGATATTCATAATTAGAAATGCAATTTATAATCTAATTGAGTGTTTCTCATTACGGTCGGCAATTATGCGCGACACTTATTTATAATGCTTACGTAGAGTCACCGTACGTAACAAAGCGCAGATTACTATTTAAAGTCAACCGTAATCAACCGAACTAGCGTCGGTACGATCAAATATTTTTCTGCCCGCCGGCACCGGGTCTATGTACGTATTTATACATTTTTGAGAGATAAATGCTATTAATTAACTTCACTCGTAATGTTTTCAAATATTAATTAATTCCATTCAATTAAAAAAAATAGCATTAATAAAAAAGCCAAGGCGATTATATTTTTAAAAAAGTCACGTTTTATTCCCGAAGTGTGACATTTTCTGCTCTTCTTCCGTAATTTTAAAAAGTAGCTGTTTTAGTACAGCAGATAAAAATTAATTCCGCTTACGAATATGTAAAACATTTTACGCCATCTGCCGGAATATAATAAAAACAAACTTTTATAATTTTAAATTATTTTATACAACTCAATTTTAAATCAAAAATAAATTTATTTATACTTTTAATTAACTTTTACTAATTAATTATTTTCAAATTTTAGCATAAAAATTGGAGTAATAAACGAAAATATATTAAGTTGTTACCATGACAACGAACTTTGTTTATATTTATGTTTTCGCCGTTAACGGAACTAAATATGGTTCGGAGTAAGGAAATTTTACAAATTGAATTCTTTTCTAATCGTGGTTTGATGATTTTTTCCTACTTTTACTGCAGTTACCGAAGAAATGGTTCGTAAACGAGCCGAACATAACGAAGGAGAAATATTTAACTTGGAAGAAATATCGTTGCACCAAGAAAATATCGAAAGGTAAATGCAAATGTACATTAAAATAGATTTTTCAATTGATCCCATATTAATAATAATCTTTCTCCATTTTTTTAGGATTGAAAATCTAGACAAGTGGTGCAGAAAGTTAAAGATTTTATATTTACACAATAATATAATACCCAAAATAGGTAATATAAGTCTTATTGAAACACGTACTGTACCAAAACACACTACACGTAAAGCGTGACACTATCGTCTACTGTTCTATATATGAAATAACTGAGCAAATCGTATTAAGTCCGAATTATATAAGATATAGCCTGCTAAATTATATAANAAAAATTAGTGTTTATTCAAATCAAAATTTATTTTATATATATTTATTTACTAAAATTTTTAAAAACAAAATATTTGGCAAACAAAAAACCCTTCAGAAATTGCTAGTAATTATACTGGAAATCTTGATATAAAGGAGGAAAATATTTGTCTACTGTGTACACACACACACACGTTATATATATACACATATATATATAATCATAAACTTCCATTTTTTTATGTATGCATGTTTATGTTTTATTTCAGGTCAAAAATTATGAATTACTAAAGTATATAAATTTTGATATTAAATTGATAATACTTTAAAATCAGTATATATGTATAATTCTTAAAGTTATTTGATCCACAGAATACAAACTGAGCAGATGAACTATGGACCACCTATGCCTCAGTCTATTTATTACTCTGTAATTGTTACCTTAGATACATGCTGTAATATTTTATTTATTTGGTAAGCTAAGATAGGATGTGAAAATTTTCTCTCTCTCCTCTGTCTAAAGAGCAAAGATTTTTAGATTGGAAAAATGACTAGGTCAGTCTACAGTCTAACTTGGCACACGGTCACAGATCCACTAAAAGCATTGGTTATCAAGTATAGTAAGGTGATGGTAAAGTTTAATTTTATTCACATAATCTTAACATCAATGTAATCTTGCATAAACAATTATTCTTCAAAAAATTTTATGACATTTATTCTTTACAATACTATTTTTTGGTATTGAATTGCAAATTTAAACTTAAAAAATATATGGTTTATAGATTGCAAGCTGTCATTTAAAATCAGATCTAATTTGGCATTTACTTCTATGTAAGGAAGAAAAATCATCTAAGGTCAATCTTTGAAAGAAATTTAGTAAAAATAGATTGAGATAATTATTGTTTGTAAAAATAGAGAAACCTTCAAAACTGAATGAATGAAAAATAAGCAAGTTTCTTCTAATGAAAATGATGCAATTTTGTATCAAAGTATGAGAACTTTCACTAAATAAATTCACGGAAGTTTGTAAATTATAAAATTTTATGAACAGTTATTTTATTTCTCAATACTTTAATTTGCTTCACTGAAGTAGCCTAAAGTATGCATGAAGTAAAGCTAACCATAAAAATATTAAGCAATAAGAAGAAAAAGCTTTTTAAGTTCAGATTATTTANACAGCTAAAAACTGTGGATGATATTTAATCATAGTTTATCTAAAGTTTTTACAGCATTTTTAAAGGCCAGATCTTGGCCAAATGCCAATGAATTAATATCAAATTTCTAGTATTTTTCTTGCTATTCAAGAACTATATTATCAGTATCTAAAATTTATTAAGATATCAAATCTAAAATTTAAAATTTTTTTAACACATTTCAGACAAAGGAATAAGCTAAATATTTTAGAAATACACATCTATAGCAATTTTATATAGATCATATTCAAGCAAGCATTATACATAATATATTATGCTAATATTTATTTTTTGCTAATTAAACAAGTCTCCATTAATACTATTATACCATTATAATGACTGAAGCTTAACATAAATTGCATCTTAATACAGACAGACAAATTTGTTTATAAAATGCAAATTCAATTTTATAGGATAACTTATTGTATATAGTCTTTGAAATTTTATTATTTCTATACTTAACTATTCATTGAAAATTTTAATAAATTGCAATTTTTAATATAAAACTTTGTATTAAATTCACAATCAAAACAAAAATTAAATCTGAACTTTAATATAAATCATAAATGATAATTTGCATCAAAAACAAAAAAAAAGTGTTTATATAATAATAAAAAACCACATTCGAAAGTAATAAAGATAAAATTTATAGAATTACTAATCTTAAATTATGTTCTCTGGAATGATCTAATCATAGTATCTTAGACTTTTTTCCTCTCCATACATTAAATACAAAATTTGAAATTTATCTTAAAAAAATGCCTAAGACATTTTGTAATCGAGATGTATAAAATGACAAACAGCATTTTATTAGTTAACCTTTTTTTTTTCTAACTAAAAAGAGATAAATCCTACCGTAACGGCAGAATCTTATTGGGCTACTATAAGGCTAATCAATCAATTGGCCTCACAGTAGCCCAATAAGATTCCTGCTATATTTGATTAGAAATATGTATCAGGTTGTCTGTATATCAATTATAAAAGAAAGGGGACATTCATATAAAAAATAAAAGTAAAAATTATTATGAATAGACCTTGACAGTTTGATTTTATAAATATCAATTAATTTGAAACATGTCATTGATCAACTTTAAAAAAAAAACCTTTTAAAAATGATAAACACTTAAATTTAAAAAATTCATAACTTTGTCTCGATCGTTTATATTTTATAATTGTAGTAATAAACGTGAAAATTTAATTTTTCTTGGTAGGAACTACTTTTACTTTCAGACAGTGACCTTAAAAGTAACTTCTACCGCTTTTTCTTTAAAATTCTAAATAAATAAAAGCATCTTTTCCTCAGTAAATTTATACAAAAAGCTTTACAAGATGCCAATTCACAATGTAATTTGGGTTAAAGCAGTTAAATGTATTGGAATTTAATTAATTTATGTACTTAAATGACGATTAAGATAAATTAAGAAATTAACTAATGCAAATCTCGTACCTATCGTCGATATAAACGTTGTATTAAAAGCATCGTCCGAAAACCTGAATAATATACACGTTTTACCGACACCAGAATCGCCGATTAATAATAATTTAAAGAGCAAATCATAGGACTTTTTCGCCATCCCTTCTTCCCACTTGTTTCAATATGGACGTTGATTGAAGCGCCACACCTTAAAATATTAAATAATTCTTCTTCTTCTTTGATTAATGCGTATTTATATAATTCGTCTAAAAATTTAAATAATTTTAATTACGTTATTAATTCACATAAATCTAATATTAATAATTATCTTAATTATTAATTGTTTTATTAAAAAGTAAATTATTTTTTTCTATTTTCTTTTTAATTTATTATCATCGATATAATAATGCATTCTTAATTAACGAAATTAAATATTAATTTATCAACATTTTATCAACATGTGTATTTATTATTGTATTTTTTTTATCAATTTAATCACGATCTGAGCTATTTTATAAAAATTTTTATCAATTAATTTCATTAGTGAATAAATCTATATCGTGGCGAGATGAAAACGCGCCGAGCTTCCGTTACACGAAGTCTGGCAGTATTTAGATTTTTGGAGTCTTTTAAGGCGAATTTCGCTATTCTTTACGAGTTTCTTATCATTGTTTCCATAGACATGTTAATGTTAATGTAAAAAGTAATGGGGCAGCGGAGTGATGAAAATGACAATGTGAAATAGTCATACATACTGTACAACAGTCTCCGTGAAAAATTCCTGATGTTGCTGGCCCGGCGGAACTCGAATCCGATACGAGACTTACGCTCTGGGAAGTCTGGGTTAGGCAATAAGATTAGATGCAAATGAATTAATGCTCGAATAATCTTATTTTAGTTTCTATCATTATTGATAGAAGGAACATTCTGGTCCTTTTCATTCATACATTTTAAGCTTTGTTAAAAAATATTTAATAACTGTTTAGTTTTTTAGTGTACACGCTAAGGTGTTATATGTGATATTAATGTATTTAACCATACATGTGATATTTCACTGTAATAAAAATTTATACAAGATAATTACTTTAAACTGTTTTTAAAAGGGTCGGACAAAAACATTGAGAAGGCCGCATGCGGCCCGCGGGTTGGACATGTCAGATTTAAACAACGGATTTTTTAAAAATCTTTGTGAGTATATGCGAAATAAAGTGCGTCATCAGATTTACGGTTGTAATATGCCATTCATCGACGAAATTTTTAATGAATTTAATGAAAACAAATCGAAAACAAATTGTTTGAGCCGAGTGATAAAAAATCAAGTGACTTTTGCCTACCTTCACCTAAGTATCCTTATAGTAATCCTTTGCAGTAGCGTGCGGTGACATTTGATGATAGGGAAGTCGTGGCGGCCCTGGATACAATCATTGGAAGCGTTATACGATATTTTGGTATGTAGCATCCATCGGCTAAACAGCGAGGTTGGTGCTCTGTAAAGGGCATGCGCCAATGCGTATAATCTGGCTGCTTTACACCATTCGGATATTTTTGCCGTGGAAACTGTCCCGTGTTCGAAAACACGGCGCTTCCCAATCGGAATATGCGTATTCGAATTTATATTCGAATATACAATAGCCATCTTATCGTTTTTTCTCACACGTAGTATAGAAATTTTAATAAGATACATAATGTGGTTATAATAAAATATCAATTTGAATTAATTCAAAGTACTTTAAAATATAAAAATTATCGCGCGATATGTATTTATATTTTAGAAAATACAAGGGAAGCGACGCTTCCACAGCTTTTGTGGACGGCTCCTTAATAATTGTATCGTAATTCAGCTTATATGCTATATATGCTTCAATAGATAAAGCTGCGAAAGTTGAAAGTCTTTACTGACCCATTGTATTTCTTAAATAATCTTTTATTAGTTTTAATTTTGAAAAGCTCCTTTCAGCGTAAGCAGTACTTACCGATATTGTTAACAAAATTCGAACGGCAATGTAAATATTTGGGTAAATTTCTTTCAAGTTATTTTATGTTATGTATTGGAGCAGCTGTTTCACATCTTTAATGAAATTGGACAAATTTGGGATCATTGTTTTTAATTCTTCATATAATTCGTAAGGTTGGAAGTCACTGCTCTCACTCACTCGCAGGACTGAGTGTCAATCTTGGCAGTTTTTTAATATTTGCTCTTTTGGAATATTTTTTAACTCGCTTAGATCGTTGAGAAAACCAAAACTTTCAAAATGTTGATTTAAAGACATAAATCCCGAATCCATATTGCTTATTATAGAATCAATCGTGGTGTTAAAAAAATCTCTTTCATACCTGCTTTTGGGAGACTGTATAGATTGATCGCTGCCTTCATCATCGAACATCCTTTTCTTTTTGGCTATCCTTTTGTTTTTAAAGCCTTTCGGCAGTTCATAACTGCTATTCTCAATAAATTGACGAGCGTCAGACAAGCATTTTTCGAATCCAGTTTGTCGATATTCTTTGATCCAGTCACAAAATGTACATAAATGTTCAAGATCATTGCTTAAATGGACTTGTAAAGATTGCCATAATTTGCTTATGATATTAACACGCGATAATATCTCATATCACACATGTAATGATATGATAAATTCTAAACTGAGCATTTCGTTTAAAACCGAATCACAATCACCGAGTGTGTCTGATTGTTCCGTTTGATTTTTTAAGCTTTCGATGCTTAAAAAATCAACAACATCATCTAATTGCAATAATACGGCCTTCACTGCCTCGATTCTGCTTTCTCACCTTGTGTCTGATAAAGGCTTCAAAGTAAGCTTTAATTTGCCTTTGATTACTTTCCAGTGTTTGCTGGAACTTGAAAATAGCAAATAAATTTTCTGAATAAAACCAAAAAATGTTTTTGCTACCACAGAAGAATTAGCTGCGTCTACCGACAGCAGATTTCAGTTATGACAACCGCAAAGTGTAAAAAATGCCCTGGGATTAATATTTAATATTCGAGTTTTAACTCCACTGTTTACGGGATACTTTACTGCGATACTTTGATTGGCTTTCTAGCCGTTGAGAATAGTGAAAGTAACGTAAACAAACACAATGGGAAATCCCCAGCTTTGGCTGACAAGGATTCCCCGCGATAGCAACCCAACGCCAGCAAATGTTGCTAGACAAATAAAAACAAATTTGGTATGTCAATATATTTATCGTTTTATGACGTGTAAAATTTTTCCGTTGAGTTTACGGCTTTTACGTAATGCATAAACCTTCGAAGCGCGAGGCCGTAGGCGGTGGTCCACGTCGCCCACGCCTTACGCCGCCTCCGCTTTTTAAATTATTTGAATTAAAAATTTTTTGGCTTAAAATTATTTCCATATATCAAACTATATTGCCATATCAATCGCATTAAATTATTTAAACCGAATATCGAATTACGTATAGGCTACAAATTTAATTAATTAACTATGTAATTTGTCTGTATTTTTCTATGTATTGGCGGTTAGGCCACCGTCTCGTATCGATATTCATAATTAGAAATGCAATTTATAATCTAATTGAGTGTTTCTCATTACGGTCGGCAATTATGCGCGACACTTATTTATAATGCTTACGTAGAGTCACCGTACGTAACAAAGCGCAGATTACTATTTAAAGTCAACCGTAATCAACCGAACTAGCGTCGGTACGATCAAATATTTTTCTGCCCGCCGGCACCGGGTCTATGTACGTATTTATACATTTTTGAGAGATAAATGCTATTAATTAACTTCACTCGTAATGTTTTCAAATATTAATTAATTCCATTCAATTAAAAAAAATAGCATTAATAAAAAAGCCAAGGCGATTATATTTTTAAAAAAGTCACGTTTTATTCCCGAAGTGTGACATTTTCTGCTCTTCTTCCGTAATTTTAAAAAGTAGCTGTTTTAGTACAGCAGATAAAAATTAATTCCGCTTACGAATATGTAAAACATTTTACGCCATCTGCCGGAATATAATAAAAACAAACTTTTATAATTTTAAATTATTTTATACAACTCAATTTTAAATCAAAAATAAATTTATTTATACTTTTAATTAACTTTTACTAATTAATTATTTTCAAATTTTAGCATAAAAATTGGAGTAATAAACGAAAATATATTAAGTTGTTACCATGACAACGAACTTTGTTTATATTTATGTTTTCGCCGTTAACGGAACTAAATATGGTTCGGAGTAAGGAAATTTTACAAATTGAATTCTTTTCTAATCGTGGTTTGATGATTTTTTCCTACTTTTACTGCAGTTACCGAAGAAATGGTTCGTAAACGAGCCGAACATAACGAAGGAGAAATATTTAACTTGGAAGAAATATCGTTGCACCAAGAAAATATCGAAAGGTAAATGCAAATGTACATTAAAATAGATTTTTCAATTGATCCCATATTAATAATAATCTTTCTCCATTTTTTTAGGATTGAAAATCTAGACAAGTGGTGCAGAAAGTTAAAGATTTTATATTTACACAATAATATAATACCCAAAATAGGTAATATAAGTCTTATTGAAACACGTACTGTACCAAAACACACTACACGTAAAGCGTGACACTATCGTCTACTGTTCTATATATGAAATAACTGAGCAAATCGTATTAAGTCCGAATTATATAAGATATAGCCTGCTAAATTATATAAAATAATATAAGATATAGAAGAATTATATAATTAGGTGCACTAGCCTAGTGGTTTGCACCACTAGGCCTAATGTCTGTAAGATAAAGCCTCCCGTCAGGCACCTCCTTGGCAGAACGAGTGTTGCTTTGCCCTATCCATCGATATAGGACCTCGTATACTTTTCGTAATGGACTGGACGAAAAGTACACGAGAGCCTATAAATAGAAGTGTGAGATAAACTAAACTAACTTTTTTTTAGTGCTTGGATTCTTGAAAAATTTTTCTTTTTGTTAAATTTTAAGAACCTACAGACGAATTATCGTTATTTTTTATTGTTCCCCGTGACCGCTAAGAATGCTCTTTTAATCGTACCGATGATGAAGGGGATATTATTCGCTTTTACTGTGGTTTCATTGATTCAATTAGTTTTTAAGTAACACATTTTCACATATTAATTAAATTAAATACATTTTAAATACATTTTAATAAATTAACGAATAATATATTTTAAAACTAATTTAAATTCGTTTCCTAACAGAAAATGTGAATCGATTCAAGTGTCTTGAATATTTAAATCTCACACTTAATAATATTTTAAGAATTGAAAATCTTCGAGGTATTATTTAATTATTTTTATTATAGTTATATATGCAGTTTAAATTTAAAAATTTAAATATAATTAATATTAATTGCTTAGATTTAGTATATGTCTCTTCAATCCGAATGGTTAACAAACGGTAGACTTTCTTTCAGCTCTGAGGTTAAGTATTCCTTTATTGTAAATTACAAAGGAATACTTAACCTCAGAGCTGAAAGAAAGTCTACCGTTTGTTAACCATTCGGATTGAAGAGACATATACTAAATCTAAGTATTTATCAGCTATTATACCAGATTTTGTGAATATTAATTGCATTTTATTTTTATTTGAAATTTAAAATGATTCTTGATTTTACAGGATGTGAATCACTAGAAAAACTAGATTTAACTCTAAATTTCATAGCAGAGTTAACATCGATAGAAAATCTTAAAAATAATTATAATTTAAGGGAGTTGTAAGTAAATTTATTTCTGTAAATAATTAATATTAGCCTATATTTTGCGGAGTGATTATAATTCTTGTTGAATTGCCCAGCGTCCACTTTTCCGCCAACACGTCCTATATTTTAGCCTTACACCAATGCATTTGTTCTTTGTAAATTGTGTACCCATTTACGTCAACTTGACGTCATTTTACACTTCCTCATTACAATAAATCATAGGGATCAAACTGACGTAAAGTCTATTTGACGTCATCCCTGTAATTTAGTTCGTACCATTTGTGACAAAAAATTGCATTTGTTGTGTCGGTATTCGGGTCGAATTTTCAAATTATTATGAATACCTTACGTCTTATGAAGTTACCTTACTTTTTAATACCTTACATCTTATGAAAATACCTTATTTTTAAGTTTTTGGAGATGGACACGTAAATATCTAAATGCTTTGATTTATGGCAATTACACCAGTATTTGTTAACAACTTTATTTATTCCGAACAACACATTTACTCTTTATGTCCTACATTCTTTAGTGAAACGTCCTATTTTTCATTCACGGGCATCTGGTCAGCTAGTTTCTGTGCAACTTTAAGCATGAATAACAGCTCTATAATCCGTTTATAGTATACTATATCCAACGCTATTGGAGTTTAACGCTGCACATAGACTTTATAATCACTATACATAATAACATTTTGTTTGTACTTATTATTTTTTACTTTAGATACTTAACAGGTAATCCTTGTACTGATTATGAAGGATATAGGGAATATGTTGTTGCTACGTTATTGAAATTAGAGGTTAGCAATTATAGAAAGTTTTAGAAAATATCGTATTTTAAGCTAATTAATTATATATAATCTTAATATATTCATTTATTGTTTAGAACTTAGATGGAATGTCTATTTCTAAATCAGAAAGAATTCAAGCACTTCAGAATTATTCAAAAATCCGACAGAAAATCCTTCATCAGCAAGAACAATATATCCAAGTAAATTTTCATTTAAGAATCTTATAACTATCGCACAAAGATATATTTTTCTTATTTTTAATTTTTTAGAATAAAACTAAATCAACGACAACTACTAGTAGTGAAGAAAGCTCGGATGATGATGATAATGAGAACGAAGAAAAGAAATCGAGGTAAACCAGAAATGGTTACTATTTAGTAAATACTCTTTTTAATTATTCCTACTTTTTCTAATTATTCTAATCAAACCTCTAAAAACGGGATATGGAAGCATTAAATTGGTCGTTCTTTATTTTTGTTTAACAAACATTTTTAAACAGTGAGCATTTCTGAAGACATGGTCGCTGTTTAGAAATGGTCCTTCTTTGGAAATTCGACTGTATATCCAGTACTACAAACTGTATCAGAATACTACGGTACTATAAAATACAGAATCATCCTGATATTTCATTAATAAGACAACTTATATAAATTTATATAGTAGGCTATATAACTATCTCTAGTTGGGCTACAGTTTAAAAAAAACTGTAGACTTATAAATTTCCAATGTTTGTCTGTCCTTCCTTAATCTCGAGAACTGAGTTAGATAGATAAAAGTCGAGACCAGATATGGAAAGCATAGGGGCAGGAGGCCCTGATTAACTATATACAAATGTCCGGTGCAAACTGAAAGTCATGTTATTTCAATTGAAAACGTTTCCCTGAAAGCAGTTAATAGATGACCGACACGACTCCTTTCTAGCAGCAAAGTTTGATGTACAGGAGCAAGAAACTACAGTACTAATTTGAGGTGGAGAGCATATATGTTAAATTAAATAAATGAAAAATATGATTAAAAATTGCAGCCCGGCATTGCGACCACGTCACAATAAATAATTGCTCGTTTAGTGTTTCTTAATTCAAATTTCATTTCGGATCTGTACTATAAATATTAATGTTTTTCTAATCAATATTCAAAGTAGTTCAGGAAATATAGTAAACAATATATTTAGTTTATATTACATAGAAAAATAATTAGAAAAAGTACGAAACTACACAATGAGAAAGGGGATCGAGTTTTGTCTTTGAGGTATTTTAGTAGTAGCCTAATTGTATCGAGCCTACTTACTAGTCATGTGAATATATTAGAAAATATATGAACTTTTTAAGGTAATTTCTTTAATGCCGGGAGGATCCATGAATTGGTATACGCGTATTTAAAAGGGGAGTTTGCTAAAAATACATCGTTGTACATTGTAAGGCGGGAGAACATCAAATCATCATTTTTTATTCGCTGTTCAAATTTACTTATTAGCGGGCTTATGAGATGTTTCTTTCGAAAACACTCAAATATTTTATTACTCTGTCATTAAATAAGTAAAATATTGACTTCGTGTCTATTGAAGATTAAATCGTACTACCTATCTATTTAAATGGGAAAATGTTTTCATTAAAATTTTTCCATTTATTATAGGAAAATTATTAGCATCAACGTTACCTTAAATATTAATTTTATCCGTTGACTACTAATTATTATTAATAACATAAAAATAATATTAATTTATAGTGAAAATCATAATTAGAGTTTAAACTATTTTAAATGTAATTGTTTCATTTGATTCAAATTGTAAATACATTTTTTTCTTTGTAAATAATTTAATTAAAATTTGAATAGAAACAGTAAATGTTGAACATCCAAGTGATTGCTATCCTGGTAAACTTGAAAACGAGATATTTCCGCTGTAGTCTTTAATAAATTACCAAGTTTTCACTCATTCAACACGTTTCATGCTTTAGTGTACTGTTTTACCAGAGTCAATAGAAAAAAACTGTTGACTTTAGCAACAAGATTGTATTCAAGTCTTCCAACGTTGCTGAACCATATTGAAAATTTTGAATTACACCAATAAATTGTAAATTGAATAAAATACAGATAAATAGAAGTGATAATTTACTTAAATGTAATTTAGTAAATAATAGACATCAAATGTTACGTGCATGTAACATTTTATGCTTCAATCTTTCACAAGTTCCTGGTTGAAAAACAACACAACAAATAGTTCATTGAGGTGGAGTCCATACAAGACTACTGTATAAACTAGTTCGCGTTATCGTAGAAACTAGTGTGTTTAATTAGTGACCTAGTTTTTCACGATCTTCAAACTACATCATTATTCTAATTCGCTGTGAATAATTCCATTTAAAATTTTTGAAGGGCGTGATTCTTTTCAGGAATAAAATCTCTTTAAAAATTCACTAAAGACTTCTAAAATAGTTTTAAAATTAACTAAAAATTCAATAATAATTCAATTTGGAGAAATCAGAAGGGGTTCAGCTAATTATTTGCTTAAATTCATGTTTCTACAAAATGTTTAGCATTTTATTTATTTATTTATAGAACAAATGTTAATTTTCCCAGAAAATCGAACAAGAAGTGATTTTTCTCATTAGACAACATTTTTTCTAATAAATCACATTATTAATTCAATAATTATATTATAATTATCGTATTATCATATGAAATGATGATGTAGTTAGTTCATAATTTCAATTAATTAATTAAAAATAATTTATTATAGATTACTATAAATGTGTTAATGACAATCATATTTTATTATTTATTTCGTTAACATTTAATTATGTTAATTATGTACTGATGTTATTAAGTACAAATAATGAGAAATTTTTACTCACATTTACAAAGTTAAAATAAAAGGGTAAAAAATAGGAACCTTTTCCAAGTTCCGTCGATAGCTCAGCTGGTAGAGCGGTGGACTGTAGGTGTTGATATTCAGTTATCCATAGGTCGGTGGTTCAAATCCGCCTCGACGGACGACTTTTTTTTTTTAAATTTAATTTTATTAAATTTTAAACATTTTTTACTTAATTATTATTATTAAATATTTAATTATTATTATTATTTTTAAAATGTCTTAAAACTGAAAATTAAACTCGGTATTGCACACTTTTACTCACTTATTCAGCATTAAAATATGCGAGTTCCTTGAAAAACTTACAATAATGCATTTAAAAAAATTCTTCGAAATGTATGTTTAGTTTGATATTAATAACTGTTATAAATATAAAATTAAAAATTTTAAATTTATTGTTTTTCTCTGTGATAAATAGAACAAATGCAGCTGTTTTAAATAAATCTTTGTTATTTTTAATATAAGACCTAGTTGGCTTCTTCAGAATTGTTATTTAAACGCTAATATATGTCACCGAGGTTTAATTTAAGTTTGGATTTCTATAAAATTAATTTTAAGTAATCAAAAAATTATGCGATTTTATCCAACAGATGGCGATAGATGTTTAAAATTTGTGAAAATCTTAATTACATTTATCATTTTTCTCTTATTATTTCTAATGATCATCGAGGTCATGGATATTGAAATGCCAGATATTTTCATGTCCTCTTTTCTATTTAAAACTTCTTTTTTTCTAATTTTACTGTTCATTTTGGCATCGTATCCCATTATATTATAGGCCATTTTTTTATGCGAAGGCAATGGCATTGATGATGATCCATGACAAAAATCCTGAAGTAAATATTTTTCAGGTTTTGGAATCAGAGTACGGAATTTACACCAGAATCCCGATTAAAAATTCATAAACACATTGAAAAAGAAAAGAGAAGAAGCGTGAAAATGTATAAATTCGCTTTATTTATCAATAACATTTGAATTTATTTCATTTTAATTTTGTTGTTTTAAACCGCCAGAGAAGAAAATAAAAATATAAAAAACTGTCCTCCTATTTTGTTCAATAAGAGTGGAAGACCTTTAAATATTAATCAAGCTAAGTAAGTATCTATATACGTAATTACTTGTATTTAATTAGATAGACACGACATCGTTCCACTCTCAGATTGGATTTTGTATTAACAGATGACGAAGAAAATAACCAATTTCTCTTAGATCTGGCTGTTTATAAGTAAGACAATATCTTCTTTATTTTTAATCATACAAACTTGAAAATGTATCTTGTATAACTAAACAATACGTTTATTATAAATAAAAAGAAATTTTGTATGATTTTTAATTGTAATTTTTTTATTTCCAGGTTTCTGGATACATCACTGTTAGATGTTGATGTGCAACCTTTTCATGTGAGAGTTTATGTCAAGCAAAAAGTCTTTCAGCTTTGTCTTCCTGAAGAGGTTTTTACTAGCCGTTCTAAAGTTCAAAGGTCCCAAACTACAGGACACCTTCTTATAACTATGCCAAAGGTATCATTAAAAAATTATCATTAATTTTCAAAGTTATAATTTTTTAAAATGGTTTTTCTACTTAGACTAAAGAATTATTGAAGAAGGAAAAGAAAGCTTGGAATAATGAAAAGAAAAAGTGAGTTTTACTTGGAATTTAAGATAAGTCATGTTAAAAGAATTGTAAACAAATTTTAATTTTTAAAAATATATATTTCAGAGAGAAATATTTAGAAGTTACTGGGAGAATTATTGATGATATTGATAAAATTGCATCGAACCATTCAAAATTTTCCTCAAAGAAGATTTTATGTGATGATTTTATAGATGATCCTGATGTACCACCTTTGATTTAAATGCCTCTTCTTGAAACTGTCTTTGGATTTTCATCTTTGTTCCACTCTTAATATAAAATTTTATATTTATAAAGAGTATTTGTATAATATAATTCAAATAAAACACGAATTCTTTAGACAGATATAATAAAATATTATCTATATTTTATTTTTTAAAAATGCTTAAAATTTTTCAAAGTTAGATAAAGCATTTTATTAAAAGAAATTTTTATGTAAATTGAATTGCTAAAGTGTAATTTATTTTAAATCATATAATATAATACATAAAATGCAAAAATATATGCAATAAACTTTAATAATTAAAATCAAAGTTTTTTTTTAATTTTATAAAGCAGATTATCGAAATTAATTTATTTTTTAAATCATAAAAAAGTCTTCATAATTTCTGTCTGTCCGTAACGCAATATTGCTACTTATCTAAATGCTTTATATTTTGATCACGAACCTTTTATCATTTAGTTATATTTTAAACCTTATATTGGAAATTGCGATCTACCAGTCGAGATATTGGCATCATTCATCCTTCTATTCGATATAAAGGTTGCATTACCAGAGATTACAATATTTTTGGATTAATTAAAATAAGATTAGTTTTCGGAGATAATTTTAATATTATATAGAATTGAATTTCATAAAATTCCGCTAGGGGCTAAAATTTTTACATTGGTAAAATTCCGATAGGGGGCTACGAGCAAACGATAGAGTGAGTAAGTCGTTTGGCAGGAAACAAAAAGTCGATCATGGCGGACGAAGCTAAGGCGGTCGTCGACCAGGCTCTGAATGAAACTGCCCAAAATGCCACTTCTACTCCTAAAGCAACTGCAGAAGGGATGTTAACAGCGTACATTAGTTTAACGGTTATGGCGTTGTTACCGATATTCATAGGAGCTTTCCGTTCTGTCAAACATCATCGCGAGCAGAAGGTAAGACTGACGTGGCCATTTCATCTCGACCATCTTGTACCTTTTAAATCTCTACCATTCATTTAATTTCACTTATTACTCTATTATCTCATCCACATCTAAAGTATTATTATTAATTCTAATCAAAAAACAAAAGTTTTAGTAAATTAAATTTATTTATTTAACTCTTTAACTATATACAATAATTATTCCGATTAAAAATGATAAATATTTTTATCATTTTGATTATTTAAACAGTTCAAAACACTAAACATCAATCTAGTTAGTGATATATACACATACACACACACACATACATAGAAGTGCATGTTAATTTGATGTAAATGTAGCTCTTCATCTGTTCAGATACAAAATTCTCACCAAGAAAGTTAACAAATGTGATTTTAAATTTAAAAATTATGTGACAAGTTCTTATTGACTCGTTCGAACAATGCATGATGTAATTGCTAACATATTGATGGTGATTTGCTTTGTTTCGAAGCCTTATAAATAACTAAAGAATAAGGAAAGGAGTTGCCGGAGGTGTTTAAAATGAGTTTATCGAAATTTTTATAAATAAAAATGTTTTTAACGTACTCTCGAGATAACTCTAGTGGTGTTTGTTTTGTCGGTTTGACGTCGTCTCTTTGGTTTACCGTGACAGAGTTTAAAAATGAAAAATGTCGTCGGATCGACGCGAGCGTTTGATTTCTCGACCGAACGAGCCCGTGTATGTCGGGGTGGCCGGACTTTGTCGCGGTACGGGCCGCGTGGTGTCGTTGGATGTGCACGATGGCCGTATTCTCTGTTTGAATGGTATTTTGTTTCATATATAGTTAAAATACTGTTATATATAAATGTCACTGTTACTTTCTGGTACTTTACAACTGTTTTGACTATGAACGTAGCCTTAGCCTTCAGTTTCCTGTTTGAGGTTAAGTTGCACTTATAATCCATGTGTATATCACTCTTTGTAAAAGCCAGAAAACTTACAAAAATATTACATATGTGTAAGTAATGAGTATCGAGTTTATAAAAAGAAATTATATAAGTATACAGGATCATTGTCTTGAAGAGCTTCAGTTTGGCCATTGTGAATATATATCATTTATATTTTAATAACAATATGGATTTCCAAGTTATTAAATTTCTATCATTTTATATTGTTTTTTTATAGACAAATGTTAAGTTTTGCAACTCTAATTATGAATGATTCATGATTTTATGTACAATGTTAAATATGTTTGCAACTGAAAAAAGAAATCATGCTACAATTCTGAAGTGTTGATTACAAAAATTTATAAACCATAAATATTTATTAAATTTTTACAAAAAGCATTTAATAAAACAAAATGAAAGATTTTATATTTACATACAAACTAATCAAATAAGTCTTGAAATATAGTTACATATTTTTACACTTAATTACATTGTGATCTGTTGTTAATTTAGTTCACAATTTTGTGTTAATATGCAATTTAGCTTTGTTTTGATATATTGTCAGCAATCTATATATTGCTTTAAGTTATTTTGCATTGTTTCATAAACTACTACTTAGATTTTAGATATCAGCAGTGCAAATCAAGGTAAAAAAGGATAAGTTTACATTGATGTACACGTGATTCAAAATATATTAAGATTAATTTTACAATATAAGATAACAATAACATTATTATTTAAATTAGTGCAAAATAAGAACAGTTATATGTTATGAAGACAGTTATGAAGACAAGTGAATCAAATATTTTTCCTTTATATTGTAAAAAAATCAATTTAATATAATATTTTAATAAATTGTAAATTTCATAGTAATTTATGGAGAAGATTATTGGATAAGTATAGCTCATGTTGAACATGACAAAATAAAAATTTAATATAGTGGAATTGTATTATCAGGACTACAATGCCTTGTATAGACTATTAAGCTGAATATTGGTACACCTGAACATAACAGAATCTACCTGTGCTTGGTTTGGAGACCACTTCCAAAAGTAGTCTTACTTCAAAACACAAAAGAAGTGTATAGCTTGGGGCTGCCAATGTTAAAGGTACCAATTGTAATGACATTTTGAGTGATGGCATCAACATTTTCTCCTCTTTCCACTTCAACGTCTGGCTTGTCTGTTTTGTTACAGAAAGTTTTTACTCATCTCAAAACTCATTTGAGGCAGAAAAACTGGGCCCTAACCAGAGTACTGAACCAAGCAATGGTCCTCTCAAAGTGCTGTTACATTATGAAAAAAACACTAGTGTTATTTTTTTAAGTCTATTTATTGTCTATTTTACTGATTTTTAAATTTTGTAAAATTTAAAAATCAGTAAAATAGACAATACCTAAGTGTCTTGTTACATTGTCCCTTTGTATGCACATGAGGGAAATTAACAGTTCCACAGTGGGGTCAACCTTTCATTTGAGGCTATTCATCTGCCTCAATATGTAAAATGTTAAAAATATCCCTCTCGACATGACAATTAAAAAATAAATTTGTGCGTGCAAAGGGACAACGTAAGAAGACACTTATGTATTGTATACTTTACTGAATTTTTTAATTTTTGTAAATTTTAAAAATTTGTCCTGGCAATTTTTATCAAACTATTTAATGTGTAGATGGCTTAAAGATCATCCCACAAATATAAAGCTATATAAAAAAAACTTAAAATTACACTGAACTTCTTTTGTAGTGTTTAAGATATTACAGAAACAAAATTTTAATATAAACATAAATATATCATCACTCTAAAAAAATGTAATTGCTTCTGAATAAAAAACAGTGAAGTGAAGGAATTCATTTAATTGTAATTATTTGCATTATTTTTACTGAGTTAAAATGATATCAGATTGTTATATAAATATATTGGTTTTTTTAGAAAAACTTGCTTTTAGCTTTTGAAAACAGATCAAATAATAGATAAAATGTCAAGAATAAATCCTTTGATTAGAGAGAAAGGAAAAATATTTGGTTTTCTTACTAATAGTTCAATATTTAAGAAGAAATTATATTTTAAAAAAATGAAAGCAAATACTATAAAATACAAAAAGAAATCTATAGTTATTAGAGGTATGGAGAAAAGAAAATTTCATACATTTGGAAAATTAAGTCAAACAATTTGTTTCAAAATTAATGTAATCAGTTTTTTTTACTATTCTAGATAAATTTGTGTATATATGTATAGGAAACATGGCAAAGTTGTCGGCGCTAATATTTTCAAAATAACAGGATTGTGGATTGTAGATGGGGCTAGTAAATCTGTTTCACATTTCAAAAGCATTAAAACACTTGCTTTGGTCTGTATGTATTTTCAATCTTCTTGAAAGTAAATTGGTCTTCTCTCTTTTTTTCCCCCTTTTTTTGTTATAATGAAAATGTACTTAAGAGTGCTGAGTGTTTCTTAAAGTTACAAAAGATATGAGCATGTGTTAAATTAACAATGTGGTGAGACAATCACTAGTCTGTTACTAATGCTACAACGCATTTCATAAAATGTGAGCTGGGCAGGATTGGCAGGCACTGCTGAACTTTCTCTGTTGTTCAATAATCATACTAGTATATGAATGTGTAAGAGTGATAAATTTTGCAAAGGCAATCACAGAACAGACAAAACAATAAAATATTAAGAGAAAAAATCTTTTGAATGAATTAAATAATTAATACCATTGCCAGCACCATTTGAAGCAATGTTTCCAAATTGCAACAGAATAATAAGGTACTTCTAATCTGAAGTATTATTGTGTTACATATAAAAGATGTCAAAAAAAGACTACAGATGAATTCATATATTTAATTTTAAATTTTTATATACTACACATTTAAATGTAGATGAAATATGTTTTATAAGCTCTTCATACTTAAATAAAATTTTTATTGAAGCTAATAGAAAATAAATAAACAAACAAAATTTTGGTTTTCATTAGTATAGGTTCGGATTAGCAAGTGTGTATCATAAATTAATCATTGTTATGGAGAAGCTTTTATAACTGTTAGTATGAATGCATTAGGTTAATTTCATATTTTATCAAAATAAGTCATTGCCTTTTTTTCCTTGTTCTAATGTGCAACATTTTATGCATTATTCATGATATGGTTTAGTTGATTCAAAGAAGTCGAGTCAATTGAAAATGGTCCATAAAGTGGTCATCTGAAGACATTGATTATGGACAATAACATTGAAAAAGTGTATCAGATATTGGGTTGGGTAAGGATCTGAATGTAACCTGTAGAATTTTGAAAGTTGGGAGTGTCCAAGGACTCCATCCACATGATTTTGTGTGATAATTTGAACAAATGTCTCTTCTCACTTTGTTTTGCACTCTTTCATTCACTGAGGAACAAGAACAGGTGTGCATTCATCATGCTCCGTACGTAAACACAAATTTTCTCAAAAACATTGTCACGAATGATGAGATGTGGTGCTACCAGTATGATCCATTGACAAAACATCAAAGTATCGTGGAAATCATCAGACACATCTACACTGAAAAAACTTTGCTTTCAAAAATTGTGAGTCAAGACCATGCTTGTCTGTTTTTATGACTCCAGGGGTGTCGTACACAATAATTTGTTCCAAATGACCAGATTGTCACTGAGGAATATTAATTTTGTAATGCCTTTGGAACTGAAGGTTATACAACAGCTGGAGTATTGTGCTCAAGGAAGCTGGATACTGCTGCACGACAATGAACTCTTGCACAAGACCATCTCTATTCATCAATTTTTGGCTTGAAAACATATATTTGACCACCTACTCTATTCTCCAGTCTTGTTCCTGTGACTATTTTCTGTTCCCAAAACTTAAATTCCAATGAAAGAGAGATTCTCAAGATTGAGGCTGTGATAATCTCAATGCTGAACCAGACACCAAATCAGGAGTTGAAAGTGTCTTGAAATTCTTACTACTCATTTTGAACATTGTATTGCTGCATAGGGAGTTTATTTTGAATGAATAAACATATTTATAAAAATATTTTTTTGTTTTCCAGTGCAAAAGTTTGGTTTCTTTTTAGACATTCTATGTATTTATGTAAAAATATGTATATGTATTTACAAAGAAAAATTTGTAACAGGAACAAGGAAAAATCTATTTGAATACTTTTTAAAACTGTTTTGGAAAAATTTTGTAATAATTTTCAATACACTTCAGCCGTGTTGTTTGCAAACTACATTTAAGACATATAACTCTTTCTGCCCTGTGGACACTTTTTTATTAGAAACCAGTTTGTTATTTTTATCCTAATTTTTAAGGTTAAATTTTATAANCTTCAATCCGAATGGTTAACAAACGGTAGACTTTCTTTCAGCTCTGAGGTTAAGTATTCCTTTATTGTAAATTACAAAGGAATACTTAACCTCAGAGCTGAAAGAAAGTCTACCGTTTGTTAACTATTCGGATTGAAGAGACATATACTAAATCTAAGTATTTATCAGCTATTATACCAGATTTTGTGAATATTAATTGCATTTTATTTTTATTTGAAATTTAAAATGATTCTTGATTTTACAGGATGTGAATCACTAGAAAAACTAGATTTAACTCTAAATTTCATAGCAGAGTTAACATCGATAGAAAATCTTAAAAATAATTATAATTTAAGGGAGTTGTAAGTAAATTTATTTCTGTAAATAATTAATATTAGCCTATATTTTGCGGAGTGATTATAATTCTTGTTGAATTGCCCAGCGTCCACTTTTCCGCCAACACGTCCTATATTTTAGCCTTACACCAATGCATTTGTTCTTTGTAAATTGTGTACCCATTTACGTCAACTTGACGTCATTTTACACTTCCTCATTACAATAAATCATAGGGATCAAACTGACGTAAAGTCTATTTGACGTCATCCCTGTAATTTAGTTCGTACCATTTGTGACAAAAAATTGCATTTGTTGTGTCGGTATTCGGGTCGAATTTTCAAATTATTATGAATACCTTACGTCTTATGAAGTTACCTTACTTTTTAATACCTTACATCTTATGAAAATACCTTATTTTTAAGTTTTTGGAGATGGACACGTAAATATCTAAATGCTTTGATTTATGGCAATTACACCAGTATTTGTTAACAACTTTATTTATTCCGAACAACACATTTACTCTTTATGTCCTACATTCTTTAGTGAAACGTCCTATTTTTCATTCACGGGCATCTGGTCAGCTAGTTTCTGTGCAACTTTAAGCATGAATAACAGCTCTATAATCCGTTTATAGTATACTATATCCAACGCTATTGGAGTTTAACGCTGCACATAGACTTTATAATCACTATACATAATAACATTTTGTTTGTACTTATTATTTTTTACTTTAGATACTTAACAGGTAATCCTTGTACTGATTATGAAGGATATAGGGAATATGTTGTTGCTACGTTATTGAAATTAGAGGTTAGCAATTATAGAAAGTTTTAGAAAATATCGTATTTTAAGCTAATTAATTATATATAATCTTAATATATTCATTTATTGTTTAGAACTTAGATGGAATGTCTATTTCTAAATCAGAAAGAATTCAAGCACTTCAGAATTATTCAAAAATCCGACAGAAAATCCTTCATCAGCAAGAACAATATATCCAAGTAAATTTTCATTTAAGAATCTTATAACTATCGCACAAAGATATATTTTTCTTATTTTTAATTTTTTAGAATAAAACTAAATCAACGACAACTACTAGTAGTGAAGAAAGCTCGGATGATGATGATAATGAGAACGAAGAAAAGAAATCGAGGTAAACCAGAAATGGTTACTATTTAGTAAATACTCTTTTTAATTATTCCTACTTTTTCTAATTATTCTAATCAAACCTCTAAAAACGGGATATGGAAGCATTAAATTGGTCGTTCTTTATTTTTGTTTAACAAACATTTTTAAACAGTGAGCATTTCTGAAGACATGGTCGCTGTTTAGAAATGGTCCTTCTTTGGAAATTCGACTGTATATCCAGTACTACAAACTGTATCAGAATACTACGGTACTATAAAATACAGAATCATCCTGATATTTCATTAATAAGACAACTTATATAAATTTATATAGTAGGCTATATAACTATCTCTAGTTGGGCTACAGTTTAAAAAAAACTGTAGACTTATAAATTTCCAATGTTTGTCTGTCCTTCCTTAATCTCGAGAACTGAGTTAGATAGATAAAAGTCGAGACCAGATATGGAAAGCATAGGGGCAGGAGGCCCTGATTAACTATATACAAATGTCCGGTGCAAACTGAAAGTCATGTTATTTCAATTGAAAACGTTTCCCTGAAAGCAGTTAATAGATGACCGACACGACTCCTTTCTAGCAGCAAAGTTTGATGTACAGGAGCAAGAAACTACAGTACTAATTTGAGGTGGAGAGCATATATGTTAAATTAAATAAATGAAAAATATGATTAAAAATTGCAGCCCGGCATTGCGACCACGTCACAATAAATAATTGCTCGTTTAGTGTTTCTTAATTCAAATTTCATTTCGGATCTGTACTATAAATATTAATGTTTTTCTAATCAATATTCAAAGTAGTTCAGGAAATATAGTAAACAATATATTTAGTTTATATTACATAGAAAAATAATTAGAAAAAGTACGAAACTACACAATGAGAAAGGGGATCGAGTTTTGTCTTTGAGGTATTTTAGTAGTAGCCTAATTGTATCGAGCCTACTTACTAGTCATGTGAATATATTAGAAAATATATGAACTTTTTAAGGTAATTTCTTTAATGCCGGGAGGATCCATGAATTGGTATACGCGTATTTAAAAGGGGAGTTTGCTAAAAATACATCGTTGTACATTGTAAGGCGGGAGAACATCAAATCATCATTTTTTATTCGCTGTTCAAATTTACTTATTAGCGGGCTTATGAGATGTTTCTTTCGAAAACACTCAAATATTTTATTACTCTGTCATTAAATAAGTAAAATATTGACTTCGTGTCTATTGAAGATTAAATCGTACTACCTATCTATTTAAATGGGAAAATGTTTTCATTAAAATTTTTCCATTTATTATAGGAAAATTATTAGCATCAACGTTACCTTAAATATTAATTTTATCCGTTGACTACTAATTATTATTAATAACATAAAAATAATATTAATTTATAGTGAAAATCATAATTAGAGTTTAAACTATTTTAAATGTAATTGTTTCATTTGATTCAAATTGTAAATACATTTTTTTCTTTGTAAATAATTTAATTAAAATTTGAATAGAAACAGTAAATGTTGAACATCCAAGTGATTGCTATCCTGGTAAACTTGAAAACGAGATATTTCCGCTGTAGTCTTTAATAAATTACCAAGTTTTCACTCATTCAACACGTTTCATGCTTTAGTGTACTGTTTTACCAGAGTCAATAGAAAAAAACTGTTGACTTTAGCAACAAGATTGTATTCAAGTCTTCCAACGTTGCTGAACCATATTGAAAATTTTGAATTACACCAATAAATTGTAAATTGAATAAAATACAGATAAATAGAAGTGATAATTTACTTAAATGTAATTTAGTAAATAATAGACATCAAATGTTACGTGCATGTAACATTTTATGCTTCAATCTTTCACAAGTTCCTGGTTGAAAAACAACACAACAAATAGTTCATTGAGGTGGAGTCCATACAAGACTACTGTATAAACTAGTTCGCGTTATCGTAGAAACTAGTGTGTTTAATTAGTGACCTAGTTTTTCACGATCTTCAAACTACATCATTATTCTAATTCGCTGTGAATAATTCCATTTAAAATTTTTGAAGGGCGTGATTCTTTTCAGGAATAAAATCTCTTTAAAAATTCACTAAAGACTTCTAAAATAGTTTTAAAATTAACTAAAAATTCAATAATAATTCAATTTGGAGAAATCAGAAGGGGTTCAGCTAATTATTTGCTTAAATTCATGTTTCTACAAAATGTTTAGCATTTTATTTATTTATTTATAGAACAAATGTTAATTTTCCCAGAAAATCGAACAAGAAGTGATTTTTCTCATTAGACAACATTTTTTCTAATAAATCACATTATTAATTCAATAATTATATTATAATTATCGTATTATCATATGAAATGATGATGTAGTTAGTTCATAATTTCAATTAATTAATTAAAAATAATTTATTATAGATTACTATAAATGTGTTAATGACAATCATATTTTATTATTTATTTCGTTAACATTTAATTATGTTAATTATGTACTGATGTTATTAAGTACAAATAATGAGAAATTTTTACTCACATTTACAAAGTTAAAATAAAAGGGTAAAAAATAGGAACCTTTTCCAAGTTCCGTCGATAGCTCAGCTGGTAGAGCGGTGGACTGTAGGTGTTGATATTCAGTTATCCATAGGTCGGTGGTTCAAATCCGCCTCGACGGACGACTTTTTTTTTTTAAATTTAATTTTATTAAATTTTAAACATTTTTTACTTAATTATTATTATTAAATATTTAATTATTATTATTATTTTTAAAATGTCTTAAAACTGAAAATTAAACTCGGTATTGCACACTTTTACTCACTTATTCAGCATTAAAATATGCGAGTTCCTTGAAAAACTTACAATAATGCATTTAAAAAAATTCTTCGAAATGTATGTTTAGTTTGATATTAATAACTGTTATAAATATAAAATTAAAAATTTTAAATTTATTGTTTTTCTCTGTGATAAATAGAACAAATGCAGCTGTTTTAAATAAATCTTTGTTATTTTTAATATAAGACCTAGTTGGCTTCTTCAGAATTGTTATTTAAACGCTAATATATGTCACCGAGGTTTAATTTAAGTTTGGATTTCTATAAAATTAATTTTAAGTAATCAAAAAATTATGCGATTTTATCCAACAGATGGCGATAGATGTTTAAAATTTGTGAAAATCTTAATTACATTTATCATTTTTCTCTTATTATTTCTAATGATCATCGAGGTCATGGATATTGAAATGCCAGATATTTTCATGTCCTCTTTTCTATTTAAAACTTCTTTTTTTCTAATTTTACTGTTCATTTTGGCATCGTATCCCATTATATTATAGGCCATTTTTTTATGCGAAGGCAATGGCATTGATGATGATCCATGACAAAAATCCTGAAGTAAATATTTTTCAGGTTTTGGAATCAGAGTACGGAATTTACACCAGAATCCCGATTAAAAATTCATAAACACATTGAAAAAGAAAAGAGAAGAAGCGTGAAAATGTATAAATTCGCTTTATTTATCAATAACATTTGAATTTATTTCATTTTAATTTTGTTGTTTTAAACCGCCAGAGAAGAAAATAAAAATATAAAAAACTGTCCTCCTATTTTGTTCAATAAGAGTGGAAGACCTTTAAATATTAATCAAGCTAAGTAAGTATCTATATACGTAATTACTTGTATTTAATTAGATAGACACGACATCGTTCCACTCTCAGATTGGATTTTGTATTAACAGATGACGAAGAAAATAACCAATTTCTCTTAGATCTGGCTGTTTATAAGTAAGACAATATCTTCTTTATTTTTAATCATACAAACTTGAAAATGTATCTTGTATAACTAAACAATACGTTTATTATAAATAAAAAGAAATTTTGTATGATTTTTAATTGTAATTTTTTTATTTCCAGGTTTCTGGATACATCACTGTTAGATGTTGATGTGCAACCTTTTCATGTGAGAGTTTATGTCAAGCAAAAAGTCTTTCAGCTTTGTCTTCCTGAAGAGGTTTTTACTAGCCGTTCTAAAGTTCAAAGGTCCCAAACTACAGGACACCTTCTTATAACTATGCCAAAGGTATCATTAAAAAATTATCATTAATTTTCAAAGTTATAATTTTTTAAAATGGTTTTTCTACTTAGACTAAAGAATTATTGAAGAAGGAAAAGAAAGCTTGGAATAATGAAAAGAAAAAGTGAGTTTTACTTGGAATTTAAGATAAGTCATGTTAAAAGAATTGTAAACAAATTTTAATTTTTAAAAATATATATTTCAGAGAGAAATATTTAGAAGTTACTGGGAGAATTATTGATGATATTGATAAAATTGCATCGAACCATTCAAAATTTTCCTCAAAGAAGATTTTATGTGATGATTTTATAGATGATCCTGATGTACCACCTTTGATTTAAATGCCTCTTCTTGAAACTGTCTTTGGATTTTCATCTTTGTTCCACTCTTAATATAAAATTTTATATTTATAAAGAGTATTTGTATAATATAATTCAAATAAAACACGAATTCTTTAGACAGATATAATAAAATATTATCTATATTTTATTTTTTAAAAATGCTTAAAATTTTTCAAAGTTAGATAAAGCATTTTATTAAAAGAAATTTTTATGTAAATTGAATTGCTAAAGTGTAATTTATTTTAAATCATATAATATAATACATAAAATGCAAAAATATATGCAATAAACTTTAATAATTAAAATCAAAGTTTTTTTTTAATTTTATAAAGCAGATTATCGAAATTAATTTATTTTTTAAATCATAAAAAAGTCTTCATAATTTCTGTCTGTCCGTAACGCAATATTGCTACTTATCTAAATGCTTTATATTTTGATCACGAACCTTTTATCATTTAGTTATATTTTAAACCTTATATTGGAAATTGCGATCTACCAGTCGAGATATTGGCATCATTCATCCTTCTATTCGATATAAAGGTTGCATTACCAGAGATTACAATATTTTTGGATTAATTAAAATAAGATTAGTTTTCGGAGATAATTTTAATATTATATAGAATTGAATTTCATAAAATTCCGCTAGGGGCTAAAATTTTTACATTGGTAAAATTCCGATAGGGGGCTACGAGCAAACGATAGAGTGAGTAAGTCGTTTGGCAGGAAACAAAAAGTCGATCATGGCGGACGAAGCTAAGGCGGTCGTCGACCAGGCTCTGAATGAAACTGCCCAAAATGCCACTTCTACTCCTAAAGCAACTGCAGAAGGGATGTTAACAGCGTACATTAGTTTAACGGTTATGGCGTTGTTACCGATATTCATAGGAGCTTTCCGTTCTGTCAAACATCATCGCGAGCAGAAGGTAAGACTGACGTGGCCATTTCATCTCGACCATCTTGTACCTTTTAAATCTCTACCATTCATTTAATTTCACTTATTACTCTATTATCTCATCCACATCTAAAGTATTATTATTAATTCTAATCAAAAAACAAAAGTTTTAGTAAATTAAATTTATTTATTTAACTCTTTAACTATATACAATAATTATTCCGATTAAAAATGATAAATATTTTTATCATTTTGATTATTTAAACAGTTCAAAACACTAAACATCAATCTAGTTAGTGATATATACACATACACACACACACATACATAGAAGTGCATGTTAATTTGATGTAAATGTAGCTCTTCATCTGTTCAGATACAAAATTCTCACCAAGAAAGTTAACAAATGTGATTTTAAATTTAAAAATTATGTGACAAGTTCTTATTGACTCGTTCGAACAATGCATGATGTAATTGCTAACATATTGATGGTGATTTGCTTTGTTTCGAAGCCTTATAAATAACTAAAGAATAAGGAAAGGAGTTGCCGGAGGTGTTTAAAATGAGTTTATCGAAATTTTTATAAATAAAAATGTTTTTAACGTACTCTCGAGATAACTCTAGTGGTGTTTGTTTTGTCGGTTTGACGTCGTCTCTTTGGTTTACCGTGACAGAGTTTAAAAATGAAAAATGTCGTCGGATCGACGCGAGCGTTTGATTTCTCGACCGAACGAGCCCGTGTATGTCGGGGTGGCCGGACTTTGTCGCGGTACGGGCCGCGTGGTGTCGTTGGATGTGCACGATGGCCGTATTCTCTGTTTGAATGGTATTTTGTTTCATATATAGTTAAAATACTGTTATATATAAATGTCACTGTTACTTTCTGGTACTTTACAACTGTTTTGACTATGAACGTAGCCTTAGCCTTCAGTTTCCTGTTTGAGGTTAAGTTGCACTTATAATCCATGTGTATATCACTCTTTGTAAAAGCCAGAAAACTTACAAAAATATTACATATGTGTAAGTAATGAGTATCGAGTTTATAAAAAGAAATTATATAAGTATACAGGATCATTGTCTTGAAGAGCTTCAGTTTGGCCATTGTGAATATATATCATTTATATTTTAATAACAATATGGATTTCCAAGTTATTAAATTTCTATCATTTTATATTGTTTTTTTATAGACAAATGTTAAGTTTTGCAACTCTAATTATGAATGATTCATGATTTTATGTACAATGTTAAATATGTTTGCAACTGAAAAAAGAAATCATGCTACAATTCTGAAGTGTTGATTACAAAAATTTATAAACCATAAATATTTATTAAATTTTTACAAAAAGCATTTAATAAAACAAAATGAAAGATTTTATATTTACATACAAACTAATCAAATAAGTCTTGAAATATAGTTACATATTTTTACACTTAATTACATTGTGATCTGTTGTTAATTTAGTTCACAATTTTGTGTTAATATGCAATTTAGCTTTGTTTTGATATATTGTCAGCAATCTATATATTGCTTTAAGTTATTTTGCATTGTTTCATAAACTACTACTTAGATTTTAGATATCAGCAGTGCAAATCAAGGTAAAAAAGGATAAGTTTACATTGATGTACACGTGATTCAAAATATATTAAGATTAATTTTACAATATAAGATAACAATAACATTATTATTTAAATTAGTGCAAAATAAGAACAGTTATATGTTATGAAGACAGTTATGAAGACAAGTGAATCAAATATTTTTCCTTTATATTGTAAAAAAATCAATTTAATATAATATTTTAATAAATTGTAAATTTCATAGTAATTTATGGAGAAGATTATTGGATAAGTATAGCTCATGTTGAACATGACAAAATAAAAATTTAATATAGTGGAATTGTATTATCAGGACTACAATGCCTTGTATAGACTATTAAGCTGAATATTGGTACACCTGAACATAACAGAATCTACCTGTGCTTGGTTTGGAGACCACTTCCAAAAGTAGTCTTACTTCAAAACACAAAAGAAGTGTATAGCTTGGGGCTGCCAATGTTAAAGGTACCAATTGTAATGACATTTTGAGTGATGGCATCAACATTTTCTCCTCTTTCCACTTCAACGTCTGGCTTGTCTGTTTTGTTACAGAAAGTTTTTACTCATCTCAAAACTCATTTGAGGCAGAAAAACTGGGCCCTAACCAGAGTACTGAACCAAGCAATGGTCCTCTCAAAGTGCTGTTACATTATGAAAAAAACACTAGTGTTATTTTTTTAAGTCTATTTATTGTCTATTTTACTGATTTTTAAATTTTGTAAAATTTAAAAATCAGTAAAATAGACAATACCTAAGTGTCTTGTTACATTGTCCCTTTGTATGCACATGAGGGAAATTAACAGTTCCACAGTGGGGTCAACCTTTCATTTGAGGCTATTCATCTGCCTCAATATGTAAAATGTTAAAAATATCCCTCTCGACATGACAATTAAAAAATAAATTTGTGCGTGCAAAGGGACAACGTAAGAAGACACTTATGTATTGTATACTTTACTGAATTTTTTAATTTTTGTAAATTTTAAAAATTTGTCCTGGCAATTTTTATCAAACTATTTAATGTGTAGATGGCTTAAAGATCATCCCACAAATATAAAGCTATATAAAAAAAACTTAAAATTACACTGAACTTCTTTTGTAGTGTTTAAGATATTACAGAAACAAAATTTTAATATAAACATAAATATATCATCACTCTAAAAAAATGTAATTGCTTCTGAATAAAAAACAGTGAAGTGAAGGAATTCATTTAATTGTAATTATTTGCATTATTTTTACTGAGTTAAAATGATATCAGATTGTTATATAAATATATTGGTTTTTTTAGAAAAACTTGCTTTTAGCTTTTGAAAACAGATCAAATAATAGATAAAATGTCAAGAATAAATCCTTTGATTAGAGAGAAAGGAAAAATATTTGGTTTTCTTACTAATAGTTCAATATTTAAGAAGAAATTATATTTTAAAAAAATGAAAGCAAATACTATAAAATACAAAAAGAAATCTATAGTTATTAGAGGTATGGAGAAAAGAAAATTTCATACATTTGGAAAATTAAGTCAAACAATTTGTTTCAAAATTAATGTAATCAGTTTTTTTTACTATTCTAGATAAATTTGTGTATATATGTATAGGAAACATGGCAAAGTTGTCGGCGCTAATATTTTCAAAATAACAGGATTGTGGATTGTAGATGGGGCTAGTAAATCTGTTTCACATTTCAAAAGCATTAAAACACTTGCTTTGGTCTGTATGTATTTTCAATCTTCTTGAAAGTAAATTGGTCTTCTCTCTTTTTTTCCCCCTTTTTTTGTTATAATGAAAATGTACTTAAGAGTGCTGAGTGTTTCTTAAAGTTACAAAAGATATGAGCATGTGTTAAATTAACAATGTGGTGAGACAATCACTAGTCTGTTACTAATGCTACAACGCATTTCATAAAATGTGAGCTGGGCAGGATTGGCAGGCACTGCTGAACTTTCTCTGTTGTTCAATAATCATACTAGTATATGAATGTGTAAGAGTGATAAATTTTGCAAAGGCAATCACAGAACAGACAAAACAATAAAATATTAAGAGAAAAAATCTTTTGAATGAATTAAATAATTAATACCATTGCCAGCACCATTTGAAGCAATGTTTCCAAATTGCAACAGAATAATAAGGTACTTCTAATCTGAAGTATTATTGTGTTACATATAAAAGATGTCAAAAAAAGACTACAGATGAATTCATATATTTAATTTTAAATTTTTATATACTACACATTTAAATGTAGATGAAATATGTTTTATAAGCTCTTCATACTTAAATAAAATTTTTATTGAAGCTAATAGAAAATAAATAAACAAACAAAATTTTGGTTTTCATTAGTATAGGTTCGGATTAGCAAGTGTGTATCATAAATTAATCATTGTTATGGAGAAGCTTTTATAACTGTTAGTATGAATGCATTAGGTTAATTTCATATTTTATCAAAATAAGTCATTGCCTTTTTTTCCTTGTTCTAATGTGCAACATTTTATGCATTATTCATGATATGGTTTAGTTGATTCAAAGAAGTCGAGTCAATTGAAAATGGTCCATAAAGTGGTCATCTGAAGACATTGATTATGGACAATAACATTGAAAAAGTGTATCAGATATTGGGTTGGGTAAGGATCTGAATGTAACCTGTAGAATTTTGAAAGTTGGGAGTGTCCAAGGACTCCATCCACATGATTTTGTGTGATAATTTGAACAAATGTCTCTTCTCACTTTGTTTTGCACTCTTTCATTCACTGAGGAACAAGAACAGGTGTGCATTCATCATGCTCCGTACGTAAACACAAATTTTCTCAAAAACATTGTCACGAATGATGAGATGTGGTGCTACCAGTATGATCCATTGACAAAACATCAAAGTATCGTGGAAATCATCAGACACATCTACACTGAAAAAACTTTGCTTTCAAAAATTGTGAGTCAAGACCATGCTTGTCTGTTTTTATGACTCCAGGGGTGTCGTACACAATAATTTGTTCCAAATGACCAGATTGTCACTGAGGAATATTAATTTTGTAATGCCTTTGGAACTGAAGGTTATACAACAGCTGGAGTATTGTGCTCAAGGAAGCTGGATACTGCTGCACGACAATGAACTCTTGCACAAGACCATCTCTATTCATCAATTTTTGGCTTGAAAACATATATTTGACCACCTACTCTATTCTCCAGTCTTGTTCCTGTGACTATTTTCTGTTCCCAAAACTTAAATTCCAATGAAAGAGAGATTCTCAAGATTGAGGCTGTGATAATCTCAATGCTGAACCAGACACCAAATCAGGAGTTGAAAGTGTCTTGAAATTCTTACTACTCATTTTGAACATTGTATTGCTGCATAGGGAGTTTATTTTGAATGAATAAACATATTTATAAAAATATTTTTTTGTTTTCCAGTGCAAAAGTTTGGTTTCTTTTTAGACATTCTATGTATTTATGT